CGGCCTCAATAAGCCTAAGGGGGAGAGGCCTCAATAAGCCTAAGGGGGAGAGACCTCAATAAGCCTAAGGGGGAGAGGCCTCAATAAGCCTAAAAAAGGGAGAGGCCTCAATAAGCCTAAGTGTACCTGTGCATGGGGTTTGTCCAGATGACAAACTTGACAGCTCTCAGCATACGTGCTTCTTCTTCTTCTTCTTCTTCTTCTTTTTGGCTTGCCCTAAAAAATAAAAATAAAAACGTAATAAAAAGATTCACTTCTTCTTCTTCTTCTTCTTGGCTTGCCATAAAAAACAAAAAAAACTTAGTAAAAACTACTAAAAAGATTCACTCCTTCTTCTTGGCTTGCCATAAAAAATAAAAGAACTTCCTTTTCTTCCTCCTCTTTCTCTTCTTCTTCTTCTTCTTCTTCTTCTTCTTCTTCTTCTTCTACTACTACCAATCAAAATGAGGTTATTGCATATATTCCGGGAGAAGGCCATAATTTACAAGAGCACTCTATTGTTATGGTTCTTTTTCTTCTTCTTAAATTGTACGCGCACATATCTTGTTTATTAGCAGGCCACCAAAATTGCTGTAATAGGTTAACATAAGTCGTTTTAAACCCCAAGTGATTTATGTTGTCCAGCCTAAGCTGGGTAGTGACCCTGGTCTTTTTTGTACCCATAAGTTTTCTAAAGGGACGCTGGGACCGGCTCCCGGGCACGTGCTGCTCCCCACAGATAGATAGATCGGAGCTTTTTGGTATATAAAAAAAGGACTGATGTTGTTATGATACTATCCTAGGAATAGACTTCGAAGTGTTTCGTTATTGTGTTCACAGTCTTTCAAAGCCCTCATATACACCTATCTCTTTTTTTTTTTTTTTTTTTTTTTTTTTTTTTTTAACACACCCCCTGCAGTGCCAGTGCTGCTGATAAGAGCAGGCATCACTAGCACCCGGGGAGAGGCTCCATGATCTATTGGTGGGGAGCGTCACCTGCTGGAAAACGGGTCCAGCGTCCCGCCGTCCCTTACACAGAATGAATCTGGAGAATGTCATTCATGGCCAACACAAGCTCACTCAACATGAACGGGTCAAACCGGGCCCAAGTGCCACGAGCAGCATTGAATCCCCTCAACGCCTGAATCTGGACGCGTTGGAGGAGATGTGCAGAAAATGGTGTCGACTTTCCTCGACTGCACCTCTCCACAAAAATCACGTCCACATTCGTGCGTTGAGGAAACTCGCTCCAGGACGAAAAAGGAATGTCACACCTATACGAGGACACAGAACTTGTTTTATTTTTTTATTTTTATTTTTTTAAACACACTCCAATCTATTCGTGGGAAGGCATCCCGTGCTGGGAACCGGGCGCAGGTCCCTTATAATGAGAATACAATTTCAGCCTTGNAAGGCTCCATCTATTGGTGGGGAGCTACACCTGCTGGAAATCGGGTCCAGCGTCCCTATACAAATGATGAAAATATATCTGCCGGAAATCAGGTCCAGCGTCCTTGTGCCATAGTGTGAATGTATGTGCTGGAAAACGAGTCCAGCGTCTCTGTCCATCTAGTCTATAGAGTCTCCAAAACAAACTGAGGCATCAATCCAATCGAACGAAACCCTAACCATGATGTGATGTGTATTACAGAGATGTGATTTGTATCTGCTGGAAAAGGGGTCTAGCGTCCCTATATCGTGTTGTGTAACTATGTCCAACAGGCAGAAACTATCTACATATGTCCATATTCTATATCTATCGAAGTGTAATCACGAAACCCTAAGCACTATATGATGTATATGATCTTCTATCAATCAAGCCTAAAAGCAAAGTTCTATCAATGATGAGAAATGTATGATCTGGACGGCCAGTCCAGTATCCAATATGCATTATCATGTGAAACTGTCAGGGGGCGTTGATTACTTCCCTGCACAGGGAAAGATTGACCTCCTGTTAACTCATCACTAAATATCCCACCACCACCGAACAAGACGATCAGCCCCCCGTTGATGATTGGTATTGCAGGCTGGGCAACATCAATCACCCCCAGCTATCCTACTCCTATCCTCCTCCAGACCACGAAGAGGAACTCTGTATGAAGGTAGGAGGGGGGGAAAGCAGTAAACCACTTCACTGTATCAACCCCATATCCTACCACGTCCACTTGCAGCATCCCTCCCATTGCGGTGATGATAATCTCAGCCGCCCGGCTGTCACTTCCCACCCCACTGCTCCCTTGGTCGTGGCCACCGTCGTCGTCATCGTCATCGTCGTTGTCATTGTTGTTGTTATTGTTGTTGTTGTTGTTGTTGTTGTTGTTGTTGTTGTTGTTGTTGTCGTTGTTGTCATCGTCATCCCTATCGTTGAGGAGGGGGTAGATGACAAACCCCTTTTCCGTTCCAACCCCAATCTCCCCTTCATCCGCTTGCAGCATCTCCCCCATCATGCGCTGATGATCGCAACTGCCTGGACACAGCTGTCAGCCCCTCTGCTTCCATAGTCGTCACTGCCGTCTTCGTCGTCGTTGCTGTTGATATTATCGTTGTTGTTGTTGTTGTTGTTGTTGTTGTTGTTGATGATGTTTTTGCCGCTGTTGTTGCTGCTAGTGTTCTCGCCGCTGTTATCATTGTTGCTGTCGTTGTTGTCGCACCCATCCACTGATGTTGTTGTTAATCTTGATGGCACCGCTGTTACCTCGTGCGCATCCTCGCGATCAATAATGCCCTCCAACCGGTCTTCCAGAAGAGCATACAGATCGCGACCCTCATTGAAGAGGGTTTTGCAGACTCACGTGATGCCATCTGCCCTCCTCCAATCGATGTAGACGTTAAGCCGGGGATCCGGCCCCTCCTCCAGCTCCCAGATGATCGCCAGCATGTCCTCACTTTTGTCCTTCATCCAACCACTGCAGCCAGAGCGATCGCTCCCCCTTCGACCTCTGGCTCCATTTGCAGCCGCAAAGGCATGTCCCTCACAACCTCCTGTAGCCATCTGCATCCGTTCTCCAAGGTAATCAGCCATTCGTTTGCTCCAATATGTAGCTCCCTCTCTGAATTATCCTCCATGATAGTCATGGCTCGCTCAAAGAGCCGCGCCACTTTTGTGCAGTAATCCTCCAATCAATCACGGCTCGCGCTTCCCCTGTTCACGCATCGCGGGGCGTCCACGTCACCAAACGACCGATGGCACGAGGCAAGCTGAACACCACGGCCATGTGTCGGGCGCGTGAACAGGCCCAGCGGCCTGGATGGGCTCACCTCTCCAGCTCGCTGGTCAAGCCGGGCGCGGGCCGGGCCTCGCCGGTCGGCCGGCGTTAGGGCGCTAGCCACTCAGGAATGTTTTGTGTGGAACGAAGCCCTAAGATCGTTTAGCAGATTGTCCGTTCTCTGATCCATAGCCTTCTTTTTTGACACCATTGCACCAATCTTCTTGACCTGAATACAACATACGGCCATTATAGCTGTATTTGGGGTAAATCTTTCAGTCTAAATACAGCAGCAATGACCGTACTTTGTATTTGGGTGAAGACTGTAGAACGTCGTCTTTTATAGATAGTGCGTCGACCACTACATTGAACTTCCCTTTTTGGTGCTTCAGAGTGAAATCGTACAATGCATGTCTATGGCTTGTGTCCATCTCTCAGACCGCCAGTACATGGCCCCGGACAACAATTAGACGCCGTCTTCGAAAAATTGAGAGGCTTGGCCAACCGGACCAAAACAGCTGGTGGCACCAGCCAAAGCAAAAATGCCGCTCTGGCATTTCAGCAAAGCTTGGCATGCAGGGGGAATCCACCTCGTAGAAAAGAGGCTCGGATTTACTGGCGGTTAAACCGCTAGTATGTGGCCCTAGCCTTGCAGAAAGTTTTTGTCACCACAAGCAAAACTCGGAGGCGCCGTGTGGCCAGGCCCGCTGTTGAAAAAAAAAATCAACGACCTCCGAGGTGGTGCGGGTTTCATGCTGACACCCGCGGGCCGATATGTTGTGTACTGGTGCTTTAAGTGTTCGCGAAAGGTGTGGCAGACTTCACCCCCTGAAGTATCTCATGCTCGGACTTAACTTCAAAGTGCCGGCCATGCAGCTGGGTGGATTCTCATGTCTCGTAGCCGTATAGAGTGTGTTTACCTCCCTCTGATAGGTCGATGCTGCTAGCTTCTAAGAAGCAGCTCCCTTTTCCACCAGATGCGCCGGTCGCCGCCAGAAGCACAATGACTCTTAAACCACCCGTACCTCCACGTTCTAAGGCCGTCAACGCGATGGCTGAATCGTTGTGCCGCGCGGGTCCGAATGCATTTGCATCAGAGCCTCCCAAGAGGGGACCTAAGACCCCTTGGGTTACTGGTGGTTTAAGGTTTGTACGCCACTTGCACCTCGCCAAACAGATGACGCTCAAGCAAAATGCTCTTCCCCGCGGTCTGAATATAAATAGAAGCTAGATAGGTACTTGTGTTGCCAGTTAATCCTCTGGAAGCCAGAGTAATCAATGCTGGCAGGTCTTTCATTCATTTTGTATTCATTCTATACATGGGACGCTGGACCCGTTTTCCAGCAGGTGATGCTCCCCACCAATAGACGGAGCCTCTCCCCGGGTGCTAGTGGTGTCTGCTTTTATCAGCACCGCTAGCACTGCAGGGGGCGTTGGTTTAAAAAAAAA